GGATGCTATTCACCATGAAGTGCGTTCAAACTTGAAAACGTCTGCTGATGATAAGAGATCTACTGAAGTCAGCTTTGTACCAGGAGACAAGGTATGGTTATATAATCCCAGGAAGACCAAAGGGAAGTCTCCTAAGTTGTCTTCTCCATGGGAAGGCCCATATGACATAGTGGATCGTCTCTCAGACGTGACTTTTCGGATAAAATGTGGTCGGCGAGGTAAGCCAAAAGTGGTGCATGCCAACAGGCTTTGGCATTATCACGGTCCAGGACATTTCAGTTGGGATGAAGTGGACAACAGAACAAATGACGCTGCTGAAGACGTGCCACATGAAGAAGCCACCGTCGAAGAAGAAATTCTACTCAGTTTTGGGAAGGGAAATGGTGAAGCTCTTGATGAAATTATTACCACTGATGTGACTGTTACCGATGATAGGACATTTACTGATGAAGCAGATGAACCTCACATGAAGCAGAAGCCAACGAGACGGAGACCAGTACGGAAGAAGATACGTCCTGTAAAATTAAGAGACTTTGTTGAATTGTAATTTTGTGTTTGTGATTCTGTACATTCAATTAAGTTATTGTTATTGGTTTATTGTATGTGGCTATTGTTCGAGACGAACAATACTAAGGAGGGGGCAGTGTTGCGTCAGCGAGGTCATATGACTAGTATCACGCCACGTCCGTCTCGAACCTTCGGGAATTATTGGGAGACTACTAGATTGGGGGGGTAGGCTGGTATATATAAGATGGTCACAACGTGACGGGACGATGTGTAGGTAATGAGTAATTGAAATGCAGTCAGAGAGTACAGTGGAATTGAGTATTGTCGAGCACGAGCACGTGAGACGTTCTAGCGTTTGTTCTAGAGCGACTGTTGAAATTAAGTGTATCGGTAAAGTTGTATTCGGAAAGAATAAACCAGTTTTATTTAAGAAAGGACTTGTGTCGCTAAAGTTATTTATTTTTTTCATAGTTCCCTGAATTCCTTGTTGGACAAAGTAAGGTTCTCAAGTGAGTTACTAAACTTAACTTTTTTGGTTTGGTTTGGTTTGAATTTCGCGCAAGTCTACACGAGGGCTATATGCGCTGGCCGTCCCTAATTTAGCAGTGAAAGACTAGAAGGAAGGCAGCTAGTCATCACCTCCCACCGTCAACTCTTGGGCTACTCTTTTACTAACGAATAGCGGGATTGATCATCACATTATAACACCCCCACGGCTGAAAGGGCGAGCATGTTTGGTGGAACGGGGATTCGAACCTATGACTCGCAGATTGCAAGTCGAGCGCCCTAACCACCTAGCCATGTCAGGCCTTTAACTTTTTTAACTTTACTTTTTTTTAAGTGGCTAACTAGGTCAGATGAAGACCAAAGCCTACTATCTGATTTTCTTACAAGTATAACAACGTTGTATTTAACTAGTTCATGAAGCTATTCTTGTCGATGAATCAGATAATAGATGCAAATAGGATCACCTATGTTCTGCACTGTTTTCATATTTTAGAAACTTGAAGGCTTATTAATACGTTTGAAAGAGTATTTTGTGTTTGGGAGAGAAGAATATATGTGAATGTATAAGGTTTTAGCACAGAATTTTCACAGTTTTCAACTTTATGCTTCAGAATTCAGTTCTTTTCTTAAAATTTTTTTACGGATTTTATGTAACCTTAATTTCTACTTGAAAACACCTAAAGCTCTCGCATCATATTTCTGGTAACAAACAGGTTAGTATTTTTTGTTTGTTTGTTTGTTGTATTAACCAAGTTCTCTTGCAGCATTAAGTTCGATTTTCATTTGTGCAAGCAACGTTCGTATTTTGCTTGCGGTTAATTACGTTGATTTTGTTCACTATATGTCAACAGTTTAGACTTTGCTTTGGGGGATTATGAAACATTAATCAACTTCGGAAAAACAGCTTAAAGACTCTGCTCAGTTGACAACACTGATGAAGAAATCAACCTTCTAAAGCCCACAACAAAACCTCAAAATTGAACTCATGAACAAAACTGCTACTAATGAACCCACCAACAACACAGCATTACATCGCAGTTTACCATTTATCTAGAATCAGTTCAAATATTATTCACACTTGAACAAAACTTACTATTAAACATAAAATTCCGATGACATCTAATTCATTCAAAAAAACTACTCCTACATTAAAATCTTTACTAAACAAATATTATGTAGCAGCACACAATACGAAGTACATTTATAAAATAATATGCAATAACTGCACAAAATTTTACATTGGTGATACTGGAAAAAAGAAATTGGAAATCAGATTCACTAAACATACAGATCGGAACTCTCCCACTTTTACTACTATTGCAACACCCAAAATAATAGTATATCTATTAAAATCACTGTAATTTAAACAAAGAACCAAACATCAATAAATTAAAAATCAAAGAAATCATTATAATTAAACAAATCATTATCATTATAAACCAACACCTCAAGATACCTTTACCAAGTAAGCAATTTCCAGTCATGTGTCTTTTTCTTTCATGCTGTATATCATCAATATATATAAACTCCAAGTGTCGGTCGGTCACACTCGATTTCTTCAAATTTCGTGAGTTACACGAGTCCAATTCCACTTTTTATCCTATGATACTTTCTATTTTATTTGCCAGTTCCTATTTTAGTTGAATCTAATCGCTAACATAGGCGTAAATAGCTCCTGAGTTTCGGCACTTTTTCTGCTGTATAAAAGCCTGTCAAGGAGGGAGTTCCCAGGACCAGATCAGGCATGGCGTTATATGTATGGCACCACATCATCCAAATCATTATGACGTCAAGCTAAATAGGATCCGAATAGGCAAGCCGGAAAGATTCCCGTAAAAAAATTAGCGTAAATCTATGCTTGGGAATTATTACGAAAAAGCCTATTTGTTAAAACAAACTGAAGATACCAATTATATGCAGGGAAGACGATAACTTTTCCTCAGAAGAAGAACAGGCGTGTATGCAATCACAAGATCATCGTATGTTTTAATCTTTTATCCAAAAGCATGTTTGCTCAGTTATATGTAGTGTATTCAGGAGCAACATGTAGCATGTTCCTGGGAAAGGAAATTTTACATTTCTTTCGTATATTGCCAGTTCTATATGGGATATTTTTTGGTTTCCAGTAGTTTTCTGTCATTTTTGACAGGTTTTTACGCTAGAATATATATATATATATCCTGTGTCTTCGTAAACTATTCTACCTGCCAAAACGTTGTAAACTTCATACTCTGTTAAACATGCAATAAAGTTTTCTTTGTTATCCATTTAAGCTGTCTGTCTTCAAACTTTATTAGTCTCAAAGTGAATTCCTCGTTATCCAATTTACCTAAAATCTCGATGTAAAGTCCTACAATAGCTGAATTTTAGTCAACATCCTGCCTGACAGTGGATAATCTGGCTTTTAATACCAAAAATACTGTTGCGTCAGCGAAGTCACATGACTAGTATC